ATTTCTTCCAGATGCGCCATGCATTTTACTGTCGTATAGCACTACCGTTTCGATTGGATGGCTTACAATGCCAAAGATGGTTTGTTAGATACTTGATTTCGATTTGAACCGTTCTTTACCAAGTCCCTTTCTATTTTTAGATTTTGGAGAGACAGGAGACTCAGGTGTAGATAGGGTTCGTTCCGCACGTCGTGAAGGCGACAGCGCCGCCTTCTGCCACGGCGACAAATTTGCTTAAAAACAGGGACTTCGAAGTACCATAGTAACCTTTGAATATTTTCTGTTGTTTCGAATTCTAAAATCCTGATACTCGTTTTCTATTTGAACACGACGTCCTCTATCATTAACCTCGGTCGTTGACGAACCCTTTCCTGTCTATAACGGCCATTAAAACTTCGTCCTAGTTGGACGACGATCATTTAGGATGAGGATGCCGAAGGAGGAGGAATAAAGGGGAAGCAAAAACGCAATATCCGCTACTTTACAGCCTCATTGCGAAAAGTTCAATGACGGACTTCGCACGCGACGTCGCCAACGGCTGCACGACATCGTATCCTTCGTGGTGAATTTGAATGGAACAAAGTTTGTTTTGGCTGTTCTATTATTGCTTCGCCGATGTTACTGTCTATCAATCGATATTCATTCTTTGCATTTAAAAGACCAACTTCTTTTGTATTTTTATTAGCTTTTATAGCGACTTTGATCTCATTACTATTTTATATCGCAAAATTTATCATATTGCAACCATTACTATTCATTATTATATTTCTTTACCACTCATTATACCGTATTATATTACATTAGCCTTTTTCACAGATTAGTTGATACTTTACGTTGATGAATTGTATCACAACATGAACGACTTCTAATGACATTAAACTGTCCAGTTGTTCGTGCCGTAACTTGAACTCGCCATCCACTTAATCGTATGTAAGCAGCAACGGCGCCTCTTACCATTGAGCTATCAATGCTTTCATTCGGTTCAATTACAATGTAAGATTAAATACGAACAAACAAACGTCAAACTTAAATGTATTAAGAAAATTCATGGTCAAATGTAACAGGTTAGCCGAAATTGCGACTTTGGGATAAGCCATGTCTTCTACCTAGGAGAAGATTTGTGAATACGATTAATAGGCGATAGAACCATGTGTTTATTTATTTGTGCAGTTTATCATTGACAAATGCCATGTTCCGATTCATCCGAAGCTACCTAGCACATTAACTTACTCCATAATTTTACAGTGTGCCATTGGTCACATGTTGGATTGGAACTGGTGGCCGCGTTCAATGCGGCGGCGCCTTTAGCCACTGTGCTTTCGTTGGTAGGCCACCACTCACCACTTTTCCAAAGTCTTTATTACATTTTTTACCAGAATATTCTCAACTACCTATGTTCACCAAAACAGAGCACTATAAGAAGGTTTAGGTAGGGGCCAAAGATTTGGGATAGGCCGCCACACCTGAGACTTTGCTCACCTTCATTGAATGAGGTTTGAGTCAAGTGTCAGGCGGGATGGACCATCCTTATAGGGTAGATAGGAAGAGAGGGGTTGAGCAGGAGCAGGAGCATGGGATGAGATGAATGGCAAAAGAAATGGGAGGAGTAAGAGGAGGAGTAGGAGGTGTGGCAAACGAGTTAATCGAGTATTTCTCGCGGCATTTACACATGAACAAGTGTGGTGAGAAAGTGTTAATTCAGTTCTCATAGCCATTTTCTCCATCGAGGAATTCCGAGGCTATCATGAGATGAGTTGAGAGGCGAGGTCAACAATGGCTCTGACGTTTTTCCATACATACCTAAACGGATATTTGGCAATTTTTATTAAATTCAGCTTCGGTAGAAAAGATTGTATCACCTCAGACTATCAGGGGAGGTGGGGGAAGGGGGTTAGGGAAGGAGCAGACGCATAAGGTTACCTGAGGTTACTGATAGAACATTCTAGACACTACCAGCACACAAAGAAAGGGCTGATCGCGACTCGACCTGGTTTTAGACCCTCAAAAGAAATGGAACCTCTCGGAAAGCTGAAAGCTTCCGGATTATCAAAGCCTATTTCAAATAATCGTATCTCACGAGCTTATCTGGGATAAGAAACGGAAACATCGGAAGAAACGAAGCAGTTCCCTTATGGACCAGACTCGCTTCAAACTACCTGAACTACTCGAAGCTGTAATGGAAACCTCGGTTATGTAGCCGCCCGCTATAAGACCCTCCACTTCATACAGGTCTAACATATTTTTGCTGGAGATTACTGGAAAAGAAAGCTGACAGGGTAGTGGTCCCTACCTCGATTTGGCCCTACCCCCATAGCATAACTTGCAGAGGACCAATACTCCGCTTAATGGACGCTGACTAGCTCTACTCTGTGGTCTAGACGTTAAGGGAGCCTGAATGTGTCCATTAAGCGGAGTGTTGATTTTATTCAAAATCGGAATTATCAGTCAATTGAATCTCGAATAAAACAGCAGCCTTACTTGCTCCAAATCGAACTTGGCATAGACGGGGACATGCCAACGGATAGGATGACCTTTAGCCGGGCAGCCAGATCCGAGTGAAATGACGAAGTGGAAACAGAATACCACGCCTGTTTCGGATTTCAGCCATTGAATACGCATGAGAGTGGCAAAGATGGGAGGCGGCCGATTTGAGGCAGGCAAGGGCAGCCAGCTCGAGCAAACAGGCCGAGCACGTAGATGGCTTGGCCAACAGAGAGGCCCTATCAGATAGCGTGGTTAGCTGCCGCCGCCGCCACCACCACCACCACGACCACCATCATCAGGGTCGTCGGCATGGGTCGCGTTTCGAATTCGAACTTGGCATAGAGGGGGATGGGGACGGGGCGGGCTGTGCTGGCGAGGCCGCGACAACGGCGGAGGCGGTGATGGCGTGTGCACGCACTGCGACCAGCAATTACCGTGCGCCGCAGCAATTTCGACGCTAGGTTTACGAGGAGTTCATTGGATGCCAATTAGAGCGCGAATAGCCGCCTGACTGACTGACTGACTGGCTGGCCGGCCGGCTGGCTGGCTGGGCCCTGCTGGCTGCCATACTCTCTCTCTATCTCCATAGTTGGACTGGTGAATGTTTTACGACGTACACTTAACTCATATTGTTACAGCCCGACAACGGCTATGCGCTTATTACAATCCGCATTCGAGCCTATGAACACTCCAAACAATCAGTTAAGGTACCCAAGCCCAGTCAAACGAGGAAAGACTAGCCAAAGGACTTGGGTTGAGCCAGAGACGTAATGAGCTCTATCGGAAATCTCGTCCCATTGAAGATATGTAACCAGCTGTAATATGGAATGGGTTAACGGTAAAGCCACTTATGGTTCCTGAAAGATCACCTTCAAGGGGCTCTTGTGCTTGATAAAAGCTTCCCCTAGTTCTCCCTTCCAATGGAAACTACCATATATAGCCAGTTCCAATCCAAGTAATCTCAATTTTTGGCGATCAACTGGATTCAGTCGATTAGTGGCGTGAGACAGAGGAGGGAAACTGTGCCGAAACCAGTCATAGAGGGCTGTCACTGAAAGCGCCGTAATGAATAAGAGGATCAAGTGGGTGCCCAATCCAACTATAGACACTTAAGACCAAGTGTAGAAATGTCTTTGAAAAGAACCCGATGGGAAGAAAATTTCAAGTGCCCTCTACCGACGTCTCCTTCTCTTCGAGGATTATCGATTTCTGGCTATATCATGTCAATACTTAGGCAGTTTTGCCCATTTGTGAGCCTTCTCGGGGATTATCCTCGATGGCGACGAGAGCACTGATGCGGGCGATGTTTCCGGATTATCCCGATTATTTCGCAACGTGAGCCTCAGCCATGATTCCGCGCTAACTGAGGTCATATCTCAAACTGTATCTCACTGAAAAGGACGAAAAAGTCCGACAATTACCCTATTGGGACAACTAAACCAAGTTCTACGGTAAAAAAAATGAAAACAAGGGAAGAAGTGTGGGACGAATCGAATGGGCATTTGAGAACCTGTGAGGGGTAGAATATGGAGAACTAGTTTACCCATTGGGTGAAATCTGATCTAACGAACACCCAACCCTCTCACGCACCCACACAGAATAGCAGCCATTGTTACCGAAAAGCATTTAGTTGAGTGAGCAGCGCCCCGCAGTAGTTTCCGGTTACAGCAAATAACCAACGAACCGGGTTCTGTTTAAGCACCAACAACTCGCGTTAGCCAGCAGCTACTCACTCCTGCTCTGTCTGTCAGTTAGGGAGAAAACTGTGAAACGTACGTACCTGTACTGGTGGTTGTTGTTTTCGGCCTGTGCCCTTCTCCATTGTCGCCCATAGAAAGGCCTCGATCGGGGCGCCCGACGGCGAACCGCGTTGTCGTCGTGTCGTGTTTGCCCTGCAATTACACCATTGACGCGACACATTTCGCACCTTTACTCATACACATACACACAAGCACACTAACATACCCCACGAATTACGACCAGACATCGGAGACTCTCAGCTGAGCGCCCAACCGACATGATCTTCTAGAGGAGACGAGGCGGAACACGATTGCCGCAGCCGGCTCGTCGTCATCAGCGCAGTGGCGCTGACGGTGGCCGCCTGCGCTTGAGTGCACCTGGATCGATGAGCGGCTGAGCTTGTGTGAGAGAGTGAAATCGATACAATTAGGAAAGTATGAGGAGCGGAGAGGCTCTCAAATGACGGCTGATTTCTGCTTCAGAAGCGCCTGCCCAGGGCCGCCGACGAGGCGCGAGGTGTCGTCGTCGCTGAGCAGTGGCGCGGCCGTGGTGGCAAATGACGATGAGGATCGGGCGCGCCGCGCGACGTAATGCAGCACTCGAGCGCGACGCAGAGTGTCGGACATTGCGCAAACTGGTTACGCGTCCCGGACCTCACGCGTCATGCCCACCCGCAGCCGTGCGCGATGAACCGCAATTACCTGCTGTTCACCGACAGCTGAGGACCATCACCATTATCACTTCCTCGTTGTCGGTTGCGGAATAGGAATAGGCAGCTAGCTGTCCGCGACAGAAAGACTGATGGGAAGGATCATGATGACAGGCGGATGAAGAGCCACGAACTCTTGGTCTTGGCCGAATGACCCGCTAACCGACCACGACGACGACGACGACGACGACGAACCGACCGACCAGCCAGCCTGCCTCCTCTGCAGTGTGCCTCTCCTCATCTTGCCGTGGGTGCATAATGATGAGCTCTGTGTGGCCATAACGCGCGCCGCCGCGAATCGATGTGTGCCAGCCGCATCTGATACGCAGTTAAACTGCCGAACAAGGCGTTGTGTACGCAGCCAAACGGAGCGCCGAAGCGGCCATGAGTGGGCGATAATCGAGGAAGACGAGAGACTGATTCGTTTCACTCGAATCTGGCAAGAACTTACCCAGTTTAGACCCTCAACCGAGCGTGTTATGGCAGCAGGGATCTGAACCACATTGAAAATAGCAAGCACACAGGAATATACTTTTGAAATACCCCGTTACACTTTTGAAATCTCGACCTATTCTAGCCGTTTCTGGGAATACAGCTCACACAAGTAGAAAAACTCACCCAGAGATTCTTTGTGAGCGGGAATCCCATAAGATTATAGTACGGCGAGTAGTCAGACGAAAACAGCGACATCTGATGAAAGAGCTCTAGGCGAGCTGCTGCTGCGAAGGCGGCGGCGAGCCGCCTTTGGAAGCTTACAGCGCGTTTGACCGCAGTCAGCCCCGCCCCCACGGTCATCGCCCAGAATCCACTCAGTCCCTCCCTCCAGCTGATTCGAGACTTCCCAGAAATACTTACTTACCTGAGCGGCATCTTCGGGTCACAACGCATTCGACAGAAGGTCGGATCGGTGTTGCTGCCTGGGAACAGCACAACTGTAAAGAAGTTGGAGAAGGAGAGGAGGAGATGTAATGGAAAAGACGAGGCACTCTTCGTCGAGAATCGGAATGCATTAATCCAATAGCATGCCCATGCCACGGGCCAGTGCAGCGTCCGCTGCCGCCTTGTGGGTGTGTGGGTGCTCGATTTTCGACGTGTCGCGCGCATTAGTACTTCGTCCAGGGTGTCCGTCCATGGAATAGACGAGCATGTTGGGCTCTAAGGGTAGTGTGGGAAGTCACGTTGGTTAGTCGAGAAAAGCTGCGCCCTCTCCATTCAAATCAGCTTCAACAGAAGGGACTAGTTGAAAGAGTCGGGCGGTATTTCGTTCAGTGCGCGAGGACCCAGTGAAGGGCGCCCTGACGGCCTTAACCGATTTGGGATGGATAGGTAGGCACCACGAAATGGGCAGTGAGTTCCTCAGAGACCTTGAGAGGCAAGCTGTTTTCCATGGTGTTCAATGACCGAATGTGGGCTGCGGAAGTTCTCCGAAATTGGAAAACAGCATCCACTCAGGCAATCTTCCGATTGGGTCGGAGTCTCCATGACGAAGCCGAACCAAAATCATCCTGGGTACGGCTTCTGGATATACTGGGAAAATTCATGGCCCCGAAAGTAAGTCCAGTTTTTCAGTCACTATCCATCAAATTCTTGAAAGCACTGACATGATTCCCAGTAAAGATGCTTCTGGGTATAACTGAAAACTTACGTCACAGCGTTAAGGATTCTCCAGAGATCTGAACTGATGAATGAGCAGCTTGATTCACATGGCAACACCACGGACGCGCACAACCGCTTTATCGATAAGTTCTGAGCAAACGAACGACAAAGATGGACAATCTGTGAAGATGGAAAGATTAAAGCACCACTGGGGAGCAAGCATTGAGACCCAAACAAAACGGGGAATACTTAATGTGAATCTGGGACAAACTTGTAACATTGGAGTCGTATATGTGGGTGAGCAACAACACATTTTTTGTACAACAATGACAGCATAGAACCATACAATTACTCAGATACTATTACAAACATGCTTAGTATAGAATTACTTTCACTCAACATGCTAGTAACCCATGCTCAAAGGCAGGCTAGGTAATCGGAAGCTTCCCTGGAACGATTTTTTGCATGTCGTAGGAGCTCCCACAGAGGTAGACATGCTCATGGGACCTGTGAAGAACCATAAAAATTTGTAGCGAGCTATTTTTCAACCGATGTACTTCATCACCTATTGAACAATCCTTACAATGCTCAAAAATGTAAGGAACTAGGTTTTGCTGTTATTTTTTTACGATTTTACAATCTGGTAAATAAGTGATGCAAAAACTGGGCTACAAGGAAGAAGAGGATTCAATTCCACTCGAAAGATTCAAGTGTTAAGGTCAATTTGAGATTTTTGAACAAAATTTTGTGCCCTCTCCCCCTTCCGCATTTGTCACTTATATTTCTCCCTTTTTCCAGATTAAAAAAATTACTTCCAAAAAATCACTATGCACTCTATCACTGAGCCTCAGATACCCTACATTCCGGTCTCTACTGAGGTATTCTGAGGGATAGCATAGGCACATTAGTCGGATGGTACTGAGACATTGTGCCCAATGTACCCCAAAGACATGCAAGAAAACCGTTCCAAGAAAGCCTTTCTAGGCCCCAAGGCCATTTTTCCCAAATAGGAAAATTCTTACAAAAAAATCAAAAAAAAACTAAATGGTACAGCACCAGTGAAATGCGAAAGAGTCTATGAGGGTGACTAAGCAAAAATGCACTTTTCGACCGTCGCCACGGCAGAAAAAAACGACGGCGACGACGATGATGCCGCTCTCTTCACTATGACGACGCAACTTATAATAGTGTGCAATGATACAGTATTATAGTCATGAGATGAGGGAAAAACCAATGGCTAAAAGGAAAGTTGGTTAAAAACGAAGAAAATTATAATCTTACAGTTCCCGGCCATTCACAGAAAGGATCACAGACTAATTGCAAGCCACAAAAAAAGAAACAAACTATTTCGATAATAACAACGGTTAGCTATGGGCAGCCAAACCAGCAGCTCTCTTTCGCAATCCATTCAAACGAATCGGAAGCATTTCTGCTTGTCCGGTGGTAGCCGGGTCTTGAACAGAACCGAATCGGCACGAAATTGCGAAAACCTTCAAATGAAATTGAAATTAGTCGTTTGCCTTTGCGTGGACAACAATATGGTGTGTTGTTTTTCACGAGCAAAACACGGTAAACAATCCAGATAAATAAAACAATGTTTGTTCAACTATAGAAAACAAGGGAAGCTGCCTTCTATCAGTGAAAGAAACCACTAAAACCATTTTTTAACTTTTGTATGATAAAATCATTGTGAGGGGGCAAAGCCAGGAAAGACCAAAAAAACAAGAAATCAAATATTCGTCGAAAAAAAATTCCGAGGGCCCAACAGCTAAGTTTCCATGGCTGTGGCTGCTTCTGAGAATGGCTTTTCCTTTTTCAGTAACCAGAACTGTTAAATCAGGAATGGGACGAATGTGGCTCAGAAGCTACAGGCGCCGATGCACTCACAATCAGACAGAAATGGGAAAAATCTTTTGGGAACAGCCGAAATTTTAGCCACTTAACTTTTTCTGTAGAAGATCTTTCACATGAGAAGAGCTTTGAAGCTATTCTTCACTAAACACATATGCCAATACCTTTACAATTCTGAACTCGAGAAGACTGCATGGCTCATTCAACGGCATTCGTTGAACATTGCTTCAATCTTTCTCATAGACCATAGAAAACTCTGACTTAGCTATGCTTCAATCTCAGAGATCTATAGTAGCCTGAACCAGTTGCATAACAAACTTAGAATTTTACGGAATGCGCCATGTACTCGACATGCCAAGCGATAAACTAGTTGATTAGCTCCAGAATGCAGTCTTCTTGCTTCCTTTTGAGGAATCCTCCTTTACGCTTTTGCTACTTTTCTTCATTCCTTCATCGTTTCTGGACTAGCCTTTGCTCTTTTATTTCTGCTCGTAGTCAAGTAGTAAACCCCGATTCCCTTGCAAGTAAATAAATCTTATTTGAATCGGGATTAATCGGCTCAAAACCGCTTAAAACAAGACACATGACGGCGAAAGCAGCATTAGCAAAAGTTGCTTTGAAGCTGCCATTTATCTCTCATCAATGTGACATGTCACGTTGCAAATGTCTTCAGAGTCTCCATGTCTTTGAGCCTTTTTAGATTAATTTCGCATTGATGGGAAAAGTCGGTTTTTGGTTTCTCCAATGCTTTTCAGTTTCTTCTGGGAAGACGCCATCATGACTCCGGAACTGCGGGCACAGGGTGAAAAAAGTCGAAAACTAGGAATTTACTAAGTTGATCCAGAAAAATCAGCCTCACAGGAGAAGACAGCCTCATTCAGCAATCGTCAGTTAGCAGAGCCTTGTAGAATGCGCCTTGCATGATGCAAAATTAAAAACTCGTGTCTTTAATTAATTGGCTCGCATATCATATACGACTCGTCAGTTTCAGACGTTGCATCTAATTAACTCTCCACTTTCAGGCTCAAATTGATCAGACAGCGATAGGCTGGCTAGCGTTGAGCCAATCCGAAGATATAGCTTAACGCTAAGCTGCTTATTCTTTCTGACCAATACGAGCTCAAAATCAAATAGCCTATTAAGTGCAATATCTGGAAACATAGAGCCCTTTATGAGCCAAACCCTTTGCTTCTATTCAAAATCGCGTGTCGGTTCAACTAGAAGCCACTGTTCTCATCCTCATCGAAGTTCTTTCCGCTTTTCGTCAAGATTTCCGGGTGATAGGCCTGCTATGGCTACATACCTACCAAAGCCAAATAAGTTTTATCCATTGAAATCATCTAGAAGGATAGGAAACTGTGACACAGGTCTTTACAGAAAGAATCCTATCTCAGAAGCCATGGCGCAATTTATCCATTGCATGCCGCTGAATTCTATAAACTGCCCTAGAACGTTAAGGACACGCTCTTCCATCCATTCAGCATTTTCATCCATTTATGCACCCTACCCCTTTCCAGCCAAAGACTCAAACAGTCTCTTTTGAGCCAAAATTCAGCCGAGAAACATAGAAGCGGCTGGGACCATTGAGCTGCACTAGCGCTGATTCCTTCCAGAGGGATGGCAGGTGATTTTGACTGACCAAAGGCATTTTCCTTACAGCTACAACTAATACCTCTCTGTCATTGAAGTTGAACGCCATCGAAACCATAGAGCAGAAAGGGACTGATTATCGGCCATAGTCTAATGGCCATATCTCGGAAGAAAAGAAGGGCTGATGTAGTGGCAAGGGGTCCACTGTCACATACGCATGGTCACGGGTTCAAATCTCGGACCGATACCCGCTCAGGGCAACCAAGCTTTTATTCCTCCCAAGCCGGTTAACTGGTATCAGACTCGTCTGGGAAGATAAAAGCACTGATTCATACATCAGCTGGCCACCTCGAGTCAGTCAGGC